CTGAACTGGTTTTGTGAGTTGTGAAGTGGTCCTTGTGACCACTGAAGATGGCCAGAGCTTCGCAGAAGTTTGTGCATTTGCCTTTGGATGTTTTCAAGAAGTCTTGTTTTGTTTCTTGATTAATATCTGCAACCCTGAGAAATTACATCTGATGAGTTTTTATAAATACAACTGTTTATATCACCATGACAATCATCAAAGTCCTGTGGGTCAGTCAGAAATCTCAGAGTAGAAATGCGTTATCAGCAAAACCAAAGTGCTTGGCTGTACCATTGCTTTGACTTTCACAATGTGGAAGTAAAATAAGCAGGAAATAGATGTCCTCTCATTACTGACATGCTTTCCAAACAGAGAATCTGGTTTGGTTCAAAGTTTGCAAGAAGCTGTTATCAGTTGGACCTTTCCATTTCTGCAGTATAGGAAGTAAACATGCAAACTAGCAATTTTATAGCATGTATGTGCTCTTATTCTGATGATTTTGAATTGTATACGCTTGAGTTAACTTGTATTGAAGCAGAGGAATACTTAAATAAAATTTCTGATTGCCTGTGTACCACCTGTGGTTTCTTTAAATGCCACTGCCTCAAGTGGTAGTGATAACTTTTTATTGACCAATTCATAGCTAAATACATAGTACTGGCAAACTAGTGTCATTTCTCATGTCAATTGAAGGAGTACCCAGTGTAGAGGCTTGAATTTCAGTAGATTATAACTTGAGATCATGATTGTCACCTCCACAGATGCAAGTTTCTGAATAACTTCTTTACATGTAGAAAGGGGGATACTGAATGATCATCTGCACCTGTGTTGTGCTGGAGTTTTTTCACCTTCTGCTAGATATATAGCCTCTCATGCATGTTTACTTAAATGTAAAGATGAGTCAATTTTATAGTAAGGGTGGTCAATTCAATTAAAAGGTTACAGTACCAAAACAGTATGTTGAAGGTAACTGTAAGAAAACAAATGCTGTAAATCTTGCAGTAGTAAAGGGTGTTCACTGAACTGTTAAGGAAGTATAATGGAAGATGTGAGCCCAAATGGTTTGGTGGCATATGAATACTTTCCTGCCTGTATATTTGTTACTCAGACAGCATGTATTCTTAAGGCAACATAAGAAGAGAAAATGCTCTGCAACAGTGGGCTGTTCTTCAATGGCCTCGTCTACCAAATCTTGTGTCATGAAGTTTTGTATAAACTACTCAGAAAAACCCTAGCAGAAGGCTAACGTGAACATACAGAGGGGGTTATAATTGAGAATATTGCATTTAGAAATCAACAGCTATGAGAAATTGTCTAGGAAAATGCATGAACTGGGAAATGAGGTACTTATCTTGTGATGCCATACCCACCGACAAGTATTTCTTATAGTTGGAGTAGAGGAAGAACAGCATTTTCACCTCAGATTTCAAGTATTTTTTTCCTTTTGAGAATGAGTAAAAAGGAGAAAGTGAGATCCTGAATTTTCTGTTCTGACAGCTGTTGGCAGGGATCTGTCTCATCTATTACATATCCCTTAAAAGTAACTGATAGTCAAATTGAGCAGACTTGTTTTTCAAATCTGCAAAAAAAGCCATGAAGCATTCTGCTCTTCTCCACTCCTAGAATGATGCTTATATTTGACTTGGATTTGAAAGGTTAGCAACCTGTGTTTATTGAGCAAGCTTTGGTTCTGCAGCCTCAATACATCTGAAGACACTGGCAATTAATTCTGCAGCATAAAAATTACCAGAAATGTAAAGTCTTGGGCACAACATCTAAAACATTAGATTGTGTAAGATTTCATTTAGAATATGATTAATTTTTAAATTATTCCTACATATGGTATCCAACTCTTCCATTTGTTACCACGGAATATTACAATTTCAAGCTTTTATTGTGACACAGATTGGCTGTAGGAGAAGCAGAGCCGTGAGGCCTGCCACTTGTAGAATGGCAGTGAGCTTTGTAGACAGTTGCAGGTTGGGACCTGTGAGCTGCTGTTTGATTGTCTTGGAGTTCCTGCTTTTTAGATAGCTTCCTTGAAACTGTATATCTGAAACTCAGGGGCAGGAGAAAATTTTGTATTTTAAATTCCCAAAAAGGGCTATAGTTAAAAAAATAATTTATCCACACATTTGGAAATGCATCCGACTTTCATACCTTAAATTTAACTTGATTCCATTGCAAGAGAGGTCAACTTAGAAACTCTTCTGCTGGTTCTATCAATTCTGGATGACTGAGTCATGGTGACTCTTGTAGCATTTTTTGAGCCAAGGCAATTTTTTTAGTTTGCTCTTCAGTTGCTTACTCAGCTTTGATTATTCAGAGTTCGTTTCACAACACAGCAATTGAATGCTACACCTGGCTGTGAAGTTTTTGCATTAGGCTGGATAATGACATTAAACTTGTCCTCCTGTCTTTCACAGTTTTTTATTACATCCCCTCAGTAGCTGTGTTCATGAATAT